CCCTATCAAAAGTGAAACCATTAGTGCTGAAGTAGGCCGTATTTTGACGTACTTCAGGAATTGATTGAAAGCTTGTGGCTAACAGGCAGTATAGAAGGATTTGTGCAGCTGTTTAACAAAGATTGGATGCCAACATGCTTTTCATGTATCTTTAATTCAAAAAGAAGTTACAGATGCAAAAAGCCAGTTTCAGGACTAGTTTAAACCCAGTGTCCTGTGTCTGGATTGCAATAACAGAACATAAAGCTCATACGTTGTGTGGCAGTTTCCAGAAGCACTCTCATGAGGACCTTCCCTTATACTTTTAAGGAATTATGCTGAAGCCAAACAATTAGCGTGTTTTGTTTCAGTACGAAGTCATCCCTGTCCTTTTCTTGTGCTCCCAATCTTTGTTGTTCCTCAGATTTATACTGGTTATCCTAACAATCCTTGTGTCCTCTAATGTTGAAAAGACTCCTATGCGTACACCTTATGCAGTAGGCTGACAGGGTGCTTCCAGGGTGCTTGGAAATTCTAAGATCATCCAAACATTTTTATTAGAGAGGCAGTGGAGAAGATGTATTCAGTCACAAGAGGCAAAAAAGTCCACAACCTATTGCTTGCAGATCATATGAATATTCAATATTAGTGTTCCCATTTAGCTTGCAGTCCTGCCCATCTGTATATTACAGTTAATTTCAAAATGATACCCGTCCTTTGACACAAAAGAGAGCAACATTTACAGAAATCAGACTTGCAGATCCTTTTTTCCTTTTACAAACAAAGTGAACATGGCATTCTCTAGCCTCATATTTATGTAAAGTATAAAATAGTGTGAACCTTCTCGATGCACAACTGAGTTCATTAATATATGCAGTACATTATGAGTATTCATCCCCAGCACACTATGGTTTCTGGCATTGCTTCCACTAGTATTTGATGCATTCATTTCTTTCATGTTTTCCTACTTTAATATAGAGCGTGGTTGATTTATTTCCTAATCCATGTGAATGTGAACTTCCTCGGGCTGCTGAAAAACTTACGCTTTTGTAATTCTCCTACACACAGCAAGAGGCAAAGGGAAAAGGTTTTTATTCATTTGGTAATCTGTTTCTTTTCTTATTTTTTTTCCTCAAATCTCAGCTTGGAAACCAGAAAGTAACTGCCCCTGTGATGGAGGTAAATGCTTCACAGACACACAGACAAACAGCAACAGAAGCTTCTCCACTGCCTCTTCCTCCTCCTGTGGTACCAGTTAACAGAGCCTCTTTCTCACCAGACAGTGGCACCCATCTAGTACCATGTTCTTTGCCAACGCTTGATGATTTTTTGCCTTCACGCTTTTACAAAACCCCAGCCCTTTCACAATTTTCATATAAATGCCCATACCTAGCTTCTGAAAGTATTATCCGCAGGAACGAAACAGCCTCTGTAAGCACAGATTCTGCCATGAGTGAGTGCTCCTCCTGCACAGTGAGTGAGTCCTCCACAGCCATTCTAGATGAGCTGCAGACTTGTAGCTATGATACTACTGACTGCTCTGAAACACCTTCCCCAACCTTGAGCCAGATGTCTGCTGTGTCAGATGGCACCACCTTAACCAACACTGCTGCCACTTCTCATGTAATTATGCTTCCTTTTTTCCTCCTCCATTTTGTTCAAACAGGTTGTCAAAGGGGAAAGGAATTCAAATTTGTCTGTTATCCCGTTACACAGACAAGTATTCCGTTAGTAGTTTTCTGTGTTCGCAGTCTGACAGTATGTTTTGCAACAGTTGTTTAAAAAAAATCATTGGCATAGCAGATTTGGTAATAGGAAAATGATGCTAAGTTGTTGCACAGTTGTATGGTCAGCTAAGGTGTATCAAACACTTTGCTTAAAATAAATGAAAATAGATTCAATAAATATCTGTTCCAAATGCATTAAAAGCAAGCAGTCTGTAGAGTTTGAAGAGATTTGTTTAAAATATTGTTAGCAACTTACAGGTTTGTGGAGTTTATAGCCTCTGGGCTACCACCTTTTTTGGTTTATACTGAGGTACAGATTTCAATAATATAACTTCTAAATTCATAGTAAATGCTCGCAATATTTAACACAGTTTTTTCCCCAGCCATGACCACTGACTGCACAAAACTGTTTTTCTCTCCTCTAACTAACCTTTTCCTCTCCTAAGCACAGTTTCTTACAGGAGTGAACTTCATAAATAATCTTGTAGTACCCAAGTGTCCTGTTACTTTTCTCTTGGTTAAGTCAAGGAAAAAACCAGCATGCAATTAGACATTTTGTACGTACATTCACTTTTCTGTGCCTTAGTACACTCATATATGGGTAGAAAGAAGGCATGGAATTTGGGTCAAATCCAGATCACTTCTGATTTCTTTTGAGATTATCTGCATGATTAAAATGAGTCAGAACAAAGCCTTCATTTAAATTGAGTAACTCATTGCTGACTTGCAAAACAGAGAGATGTTCTAAGACCAAAGTTTCACTGGGTGACAACAGTGTTCAAACTTTGTACAAATACTTCAGCATGCTATCATTTTCAAGTCTGAAAAGAACAAATGGTGTATATATTTATAAAGTTTCATGTATATTTTATAAAAACTGTTTTGACCCCAAACTTGCACCTAGTCACCTGGAAAGTCAACGATCTGTTGTCAGTGCTCTGGATGCTGTTAAAAAAATAATATTAATAACAGGCATGTAAAAGCTGTCATTCCTAACTCTTGTCACACAGCTCTGAAACCTTTTTTTTTTTTTTAAATAATCAGTACTGTGAATCTGCATACAGCCCAGTAGTTGTAACCAAAGATACCATAATCAATATAGACTGATTCGTGTAAATAAGGCACAATCACTACATGACCGTTTACTAGCTATGGGAAGAATGCAACATTTATGTTTTCTTCTCACCTACTTCTAAAATAATCAGCTAACTGTATTTGTTTTCTTTGAGCACCATTTTTGTAAGCTAAAGTGAACAGTCCTTCCCTCTTTCCTTTTTTGGGTAGTCTCCCTGTAGAGGGTTATGTTATGGTCAGGTCTGACCACCACTTTCTCTCTTAGACATGGCAGGGATGAGCATAACAGTTGTTCACCATTAATGGACAAAGAGAAAGGATGAGTCTTCCACCAAAGGACAAAAATCTCCAAACAGTCCTAAGAGCCCCACAGAAATGAAACTGCTGGCAAGACCCACCTCTGCAGTGCAGAAAAGTCTTCATCTCCCATCCTCTGTAGAGGAGGGCCAGATGGCTATAAACGTATCCGTGAAATGAGAAAATTATGTGGAAGTTGGTGGCCCACACACATGTGCTGCTAGTGGCTCTACTCCTGTAATGATCTTCATTCTCAAAGGAGACTCCTGTTGGTTTTGTAGATGAAAACTGCTCAGAGAACAATAAAAGTAATAGAGGATTGTGCCATCCAGCACTGTGCCTGCATAAGACGGAACCATGTTTTCAAAGATGTTATGTCCTCATTGGGGATGTTTGTTTATCTTGAGGTCCTTAATGAGAGGTTAGGCAAAAAGGTTTTACTAGCAGATCTTCTAAGAAACAGCGTCAGGAAGAGCTGAATCCACAAAATTGTAAAATATTCCAGGCAAAAGGCAGAGCTAAACATAAAACTGTGGTTAATTGGCCATACTTTTAGTCACAGATTACAGCTTCTTTGAAAACCTGAAGTGTGAGAATTGTAAGTCCTATTTGGGCTTATGCTTAGAACTGGAGTTAAAATCGGAAAACAGCTGGTTTTGGAAACTCTTTTTTCTGATTCTATTCCAATTATGAACATTTCCCTTATAAAGTAATTCTTATGGGTTCTTTTTGTTTATGTAGTTTAAAATTGTGGAATCTAATGGAAACTTGGAAATGGAAGTACACATTAGATTTTGCCTTTTCCCAGGTTCCGGGACTGTCTCGAGCTTCAAGAATTGATCCTGAGTATTTCAGCCTAATTCAGTGTCTTGAGGCCAGGGGTGTGCTGTGCAGCATTGTCGCACAAAACTGCTCAGACATCCATAATGGGACCTCTTTCCGTTTGCTGCCTGCCTCAGCAGAAAGTTAGAAAGCAGCTCCAGTCCCAAATAGATGCTTTTCTCTGCTCTGATTCAGAAGTCCAGAGAGCTGCTCTTTCTGATGCTCAGGCAAATTAAATGAAGTTTAAACCTGGTACCTAGGAGGAATCTTTACAAGAGCTTGATTACCTAGCAGCAGAAGTAGGTGGCTTTGCTAGTAGCGGAGCACAGGTAAAGTATACTGGAGAAAATAATAAATGGAGGAGCCTAGGGAAACGAACAGCATGAAAGAGATGGGGATTATCTTCCCAGTAAGCTGGGAAATAGGTGCATTTTGGTGAAATAGTTATTTTCTCTATCATCTTATTTTCCCACAAAGGAGATTACCTAAGAAAGTAAAAGGTCTATTTCACGAATGGGCATCTTAAAGACTTCACTTCCTTGTAAAATCTGGGAACAAACTCTGTCACCTGGAACTAAAGCATGACATTCTCAGATTGAAACGTCAATAGCTCCCAAATGATTCCAAGGGCAGGAAAAGGCCCTTGGAACTTGAAACTTTGCAAAACTGTCTTTTATAGCTAACCCTCTCACCAGTGCAAGATGCATCAGATAAAGAAATGCAATAGCCACCTTCACGGAAACTTTCCTCGAAGAGAAAGTCATTAGGAACTAAGAAATTATAGCTGAGCTGGTATCCTCTCTAAAACCTTTAGAAGCAAACCCAAAAATGTCATATATGGACATGCCACATATACATTTATGACTGATGTCCGTCAGCTCCTTGTGTGGATCCTGTTTTCATAATATTGTGTACTACTTAGTGTAAGAGCCTTACTGTCTAACCCAGCTATTTGGTAAAGCCTATCACAGGAATATCTTAATTTTTTTATTATAGAAATTCATAGGAGTAGCTTTCTAGTCTACAGAGAACTCACACTAGTTCTGCTCCTCTCTTCAGAGAAACAAAAGCCATGGTAAATGAGTAAGAAGGTGTAAGGTTCCAGACATAGTTGCACCCTGCCTTCCTTAGAAACAAGCTTTCCCAAAAAGACAATATGCAGGAAAAGAGAACGGGTGAACCCCTGAAGTAGGGTAGAGATGGCTGGCCTCATCTAGGAACCTCAGCTGAAAACATGCCTTCGTACCTCTTGAAATGCTATCTTTGAGCTCATGTAGCTTTTGTATTCTTACTGCTCCAAGTTCTTTTGGAAGGGAGGATGGTGTGAGAAAAGCCAACTTAGTTTACATTTTGGTTCTTGACTTTATTAAGAGAGGAAACATTTAAACACAAAAGTTTTAATGGAGACATCACCACAACACAGACTTTACAGCTCAGTTCTGAAAACAGGCATCCTTAAAATGAAAAAGCCCTGAATGCATCTAGGAGTTCACATGCTGTCTGCATAGGAGCCAGAATTTGTTTTGCTCTCTTAGCTATTGGAGGCCAAGACATTAAAAATTTCAGATCAAATCAGTAATCTCCAAAATACAAATGTATACAAGAGGTCATGAACCATTTCATTTTTAAATGCAAAAATAATATGCCTTTTAACACATTTTTACTTACGCTTTGCTGCTTGAGATAGTCTCATGTTTTACATTTACAGCATGTTTTAGTTATTCTCTTTTGTTACATAAGATCGAGCGAAGTTTGTAGCACTTCTGATTTTGTTCAGATTTAAAGAAGAGTTCTGCATTAAAAGAGATGTTACAGAGAGCTTCGCTCCCTTTTCCGCTGAAATATTCACTACCCCCTCATTTCATTCAATGCTTTCCCAATATTTCTGTTTTGATCCTTGCAATACTCCCCATAAAAGTGCTACAGCCCAGATGTGGGGATTCTAAACGTGGGGGCAGGGAAGCAGATTGTTTCAGAAGTACCTCTTGTGACTAAAGCCTAAATGGCTTGTGATGCTGCTATACTGCCAGTTTACTTAGCTTTCCCATTTTTTTTATTTTGTTCGGTTGTTTTGTGGTTGTGGGTTTTTTTTATTGGTGCTATTTAGTTTTATTGTGATAGATTACATATCAGCATCCCACAGTCACTCCAGCTGGCTTGCATTTTTTAAAGAAGCCTTGGCTCACTCTTTTTAGCTAGTCTTAATGAGACTTTTCCCTTCGGTCTGCACAGAAGTTCCCATTAATATCAATAGGGCTTGAGCATGTGCATTAAGGGAATATGTCTCTTGGAGTGAGTGATCTGTGGCAGGCAGTCTTTGTCACACAACGAGAGGAACTTTTACTGCCATCTTCATTTTATATTGCTGTCAGACCTCTGCAGACCTTGTTTGTGCCGTCTTCGTTGCCTTGACCATGGTCTTTCTGTCACCTTCCCATGACTTCAGCATGCTTCACAGACGGCACATACAAGGAGAGAAGGGGGGGAGGCACAAGGTATATAAGGAACACATTCTGCTCCCCTTGTGATGAGTTTTGTGTTTCAGTGAACGCAGATGCCATTATGGCTAGGTACCTGACAACCGGTAATTGTCGCGTGGATGACAGTCTTGCATCACTCGTTGTTTGGGATGGCAGTCGGAGGGCTTTGTGTGTAGTTTAATGGGATATTGTTTTGTTTCTCTCAGGCTCAGATCACAGTGAATGGGAACTCTGGCACTGCTGCCAGCCCAGTGAGTCACTTTCAAAGGCCTTTTTCCCCTTCTTCAGCTTACCCTCCACCAGCTTCGCTCAATTCCAACATTGTTATCATGCAGCATGGCAGGATGATGGGTAAGCCTCACACAGAATGTTTGCTTTATACATTACGCAATGTATTCCAGTTCATGTTGCAAAGATTGCAAACAATTGCAGAGTGCTTCATATCCATAATGAAGGTATTGTCTATTCATCTACCTTGGGAAGTAAATGCAAAAAAATAATAGCATTTATTGTTAGATACAGTAGTGATCCTGAACTGGAGTTACTATTAAATTTTATTACTTATGTGTGTGAGAATGACCTCTTGCCACCTTTCTACTAGCTTTACCGAGGAAAGAGCATATATCAAAATAACTCAACCTGTGCAGCCCCTTCAGGTTTTGCCTTCTTTAAGAAATCAAGGGCCAACTTTGTACATTGGTTCTCCCCACAACTCTCGTAATCTTCATTAGAAATACTGCCAACAAAGGGTGGGCTCTGGGCTTTTAAACACCTAAAGCCGTGTCAATCTGTAATTTGTTTATGTATTTTTTTGTAGGGCGTTGTTAATTTTTATTTTAAAAATACATGATCAGCCTTAGAAAGGAGCTTTGCCAGTATAATCCAATTTTGCCAGAACAATCATTTGCTTGCTGCTTTTTCTACCAGTGTTTTGCGTATTCAGATAAGACTATAGATGCAAAATAATTTGAATGTGATCCTGGAGTTTACTTTTTTGTTGTGCATGCGGGGAAATTAGGTGACAGTTCTCACTCTGAGACTTACAGCTTAGACAAATGTTGCTATCCCTATCATAGCGATAAGTACAAAAACTGTACTATGGGTTTCTCCACATCCCAGAATTCTAGATTCTTTGATTGCTTCCAGTTTGCTGATCTAAAGGCTTATCAATTCTGTTTTGGATATACCTGAAATAAGTAAAGTGTTCTCCCATGACTTTTACTCTTGTATGATGCTGAAGTTCTGTGTTCCACAGTAACAGCCTGATTTATTTCTCCTTGCTCATGTAAAAATCCCACTGATGGCCTCAGTTTGAGGCTTATGAAGAATGAAGGATCAAATCCAAATTGTTTTCTAAATTTAACATCATGCATTTTGGGAAAAAGGCCCAAATATTCAGACATTTGCCACGCAGAGTTGCCCCTCGCCATATATGTGTAGCACTGGATTATTTACGGGATTTCAAACTTGAGTAAATAGCTGAAACAGCCATGCCAAATCCAGCTCTCTGCAGTAGGAGTGAGCAGAAATATTCAAATTAAAATTAGAGCTTTTAGTCACCAGAGCTCCTTTTGCTGATTTATATTACAATTCAAATATTTTGCTTCAGAAGAATCAATAGATGTTAATGTCACACAAAAGGCAATTGTAATCTTCACCAGTAGTGTTAGAATATTTATTTTTACTCCCTACATTCATTTATCCTGCTGTGAATATTGCAAGTCACCACAAACCAATAACAGCCTGCACAGTTCAACTGAAGTATTGTAGGTGGATCATCAGATTGCTCTACAGGTGCCAAGTTACTGAGGTCCATTTTTACGGATTATATGTAGAGGCACTTAAACATACCAACATAACTTTAAGGGGCAAAAATTATACGTCAGAATTTGTTTTTTAAAAATATTCATGCATCAATACAATGTTTCTAAACACATCACATAAGTCTTTGTGGAGGGCTGATTGGAATCTGTTGCTGTGCTTACAGAATAGCAATTTTCTACATTTTGCTAGATTTTGGGGGGGAGAAGTTTCGAAATTACATCACTAGTTTTAAAGAATGGATAGGAAAGGTGCAAGGGTTTGATTTATAAGAAAAAGGCTGCTGCCACTATTTCTCAATAGATTTTTCTGAGTTTGCGGGTTTTTTCTTTCTGTTTATGAGCAAGATGCTGTGAAAAAGTACCTCTAATCTAAGAAGATCTGAGTTGAATAGCCCGTCTAGTCCTTAAATAAGTTTATAATTCTGTTAATGTAACATTAAGTAGGGCAAAGCCCCAGCTAAGAGGATATTTTTAAGTGGTCTATATGTATGTGGTTAAGATTTTTGTCACTCTCTTTACAGCATACTGAAATAGGGAAGCGTGTTATAACTGCCAAGTATGATTATTATATCGTTATACAATATTCCGTCATGTTATCTTTGCAGAGTCCACAGAGACATACTCACAGCATGTTCAGACTGTTGGCAGCACCACCACCACCAGTACAATACCAATCTGTAGATCCTCAGAAGAAGAAAAAAAAATTACAGTCATTAAAGCTCCACATTATGCAGGGATTGGCCCGGTAGATGAATCTGGAATCCCCACGGCAATTAGAACGGTAGGAAATTCTGGGGAATCTGTGTATGAACTCATACAATGAATTGATTGTTGGTAATGGGTTTTTCACATTCTTCAAGTCTTATATAATGTGGAATACAGTGTGCGTAATCAGCGAGCTCATGAATATAATATTGTGTGTTGACGGAAAAGGAAAATGCTGATGGGAGCATAATTGGGCAACCTCATGCTTCTAGTTTTAATTAGAAGTAGCCAAAACTTTGTGTCTCTTTCTTGCTTCTCTTGCAGTTCTTGCCTTTTGGAGATATGCAGTAATTGCATTTGTTTTGTCATTTCTAAAATAAAGTTTATACATAATATATATATGCGTGCATGCAAGTATACATATATACATATGTGTGTGTGTATATATATGTAAAAATCTCACCCTTCTGCATTTTGAGGGACGGTGGTTCTCCTGTCATCAGGGTAGTGTAGAAATGAATAGTTTCGTTCTGATAATAATCTAAGTGACTAGTATTTTTGTGGAAGTGCAATGTATAACCATTGTGCCCTTGTGTGACACGCAAACGAACAGCGTGGAAGCCCTTTCATTGTGACTAGCCCAGTTTTGATCCCCTGCCACTAGTCACTGCTTGAGTGGTCCCAGGATGTCGAACTGAAGAGTTTTGTTTTCACTATGCTGAAGCATTCTTTCCACTGCGCTGTCAGGGCAGCCTCTTCTGGCTGGTCCGGAGAGCCCAGTGGCAGCTGCACTAGGTCTGTAAGGGAAGTGCGTACTGGCCTTCCCAGCCGGAGGAGAAGCGCCGTGCCAGTCGGAGAAAGAGTGAGAAGAGTGGGAGCCAGGATGAAAGCGGCAGAGCCCTTGCAGGTGAAGTCTTTGTGAGGTGCAAGGACGTAGCAGCTGTTGGATGTATGCTCTCCGCCAATACTGACGTACAGGGCTGTGTTGTAATTGCCAGGAACTGCTTCAATGGATTGAAAAATTAGGGGGAAAATCAGGAACTGATGGAGAAAAGCAATAGGAAAAAATCAGAATAAGTGGTAAGATGGGGACAATTTTGATAAGAAAGGGGGGAAACTCTGGCATTTCTTGCTTTATTTTTTGACATAAAAAGTAATACGATCGAAATCTTTTAAAAATTAAGAATTTCTTTGCAGCAATGCTCTAGCTTCCTACCCCTTTTTTAAGTAAATATGTCCCTATGCTTTATATAGGATAAAGTAATTATTTGTGTTCTTTTTTTTAATGGCAGATTGATCTAATAAGGTGCATATCAGTTATACGAGACTATAACAGAAATCCCCCTCAAGTGTGCTTAATAGAGTTGGCAATCTGCCAACCTATATTTAACTTTTAGATCATATGGTCTGAGTCTCTCAGATTTTCCCCTAAAAATATAATGTAATTTGAATTAGGACATTTTTCAGCTGGATTTGCTCTGTTTCTTGTTACGTTTCAATTTAAAAATATCTTACAGCTTGTAAACTTAGTATTATAGAAATGATTCTCACAATGAAATATGAGTTAAAAGATTATGCTAGCATGTGCGTGTGGGTGTGTGTCTTGTGTGCCACTTTGTGTCCTTATTCTGCTTTCTTAGGACTTAGCTGGAGGGGAGATTGTTTTCAATATATTGATTTGAGATTACATTTTAAAAGTGCACGAGTATACTTGAGCCCCGTGTACCCCAGTCGCGTAAGAACAAAGGTGATACAGTTGTCAGCAAAAAACTCAAATATGCTGCCCCTTGACACCTCTCAGAAGTGCAGTACTATGCAGAAACATGCAAAAGTGCTATAACTGCGTTTCTCGTGAGCAGTAGAAGGTGGGATCTATCACCTGCTCTTTCCCCAAGGTCAGTGAGCAATCCAAATCGGAATCTTCTCCCAGAAAGTTCAGCCTCACTCCATCTGGAGAGAGAAAGAAGTTTTCAGATTAGTTGACTTTATCGTTGCGTGCAAAGTTTAAAAGTTTCTTATTCTTCCATCTTTAAGAAAATGGCAACAGTCTATCAAAAAGCAATAAATGCAGATTCACGGGGGATAGGTAACATACACACTGTGTTCCAAAACACTATGCTTCTCAATGGTAAGCTTGTAAATAAGAACTTGGGAGTATCTGTATTCCAAATTTGGAGTGCTTTTCAGGAGCAAAGAGATTTTTCAAGCTGTGGTTATCTCCTCCGAATCTGTCTTTACTCTCAGGACATGGTTTGTGACAGCTGTTTAGCCAAGGAAAGCGGAGTGATGTACTCTTCTCTTTCTATTCCTGCAAACCCTCTCTGTCCAAAGCTGCTGAGAGGGGAAGGATTCCTATAAAGCTTTCCCTTCCCTCAGAACCTCCATGCGATGTTAGCATGTTCCCTCCACACCACTTTAGCTCCTGCCAGCTCTGGGAAGTGCAAGTCTGAAGCCTGAAAATTCAGATCATTGTTAAGTTCTGCCACCGTGCCAAGCCCTGCCCCAAAGATGGTGAAATTCCAAGGCATTAAAAATGAAGTCTTTGGAAAAGAGAGAGTAAAATGCTGTTCACTCAGAAAAGCATTCAGTCAAGTGACACCACCAGAGTTTACCACCGACAGGGTCCTAGGAAAGGCAAAAACAGATTAATGGAAAGCAGTATGAGGGCACTGTTTTAGACTATCCAAAACGATTGCTTCATGTCCATCAAAACTAATCTGTATAATGAAAAGGCCTCCATTTACTAAGACTGAAAAAAAAATCAAGGCCCACCAGATTTCTTTTCCGTACTTATTGATGTAATATTTTGGCTAGAAAAAAAAACCAACAGAAGGTGATAAATGCCTCCTTTAATTGCATACTTTCTGATGGATTATTAGAATACTGCAGTGATTATGGACTCTCCTAAGTACCAACTGCAGGTACTTTTTATGTCCTCTTCACGCTCTGGCTGATTGTTCATTCACATATGTTGATACCGTGTTCCAGCATTTAATTGCAACAACTATAATGTATGCAAAGCAGGATGGCATCTGAATGGCTTGGTGCATTGTGAATTCTGCTATTTCCTGAAACAGATGTTGGTATGTGGGATTACTGAACATAAATTGAGAAAATGTATTTTTAAATGAATTTATTCTATTCCTTTATTAGTCCTATCTGGCTTACAATGTAAAGCCAAATTATTGGCTGAGGCTTTAAACCCCTGGGTGGGGGTTGGGGGGGAGATGATGAGAGAAAAACGTTCAAATGTCCAGAAAGATGTTGGGAGACCTTCTTCTCTGGTCACATGGGGGCTTCTCCATACCTGATCTCTCTGTGGAAGCCTCCTGTGGATTTGTGGAGGACCTGACTGATAAGGAGGATCCGGCAAAGAGATATCTACGCACCTTTGTCCCTTGACAAACAGTAGGGTCATAGCAGTAATATTTATGCACTGTTTCAAATCTATTCACCTATCACCAATTCAAGCTCTATTGGAAGACTCTTTTTGGCCCAATACGATCAGAAAGGCAGTTGTGGCGTCATGGGACCATTGCAGGTTTGTACTGCTGTGGGAAATGAGGAGTACCACGGAGGTTATACCCATCAGCATGAATTCCTTCAGACCTTCTGGACTTCCTTGTAAACTTTTGAACATATAAGATCTTGGAGCACCAAATAGCATACTTGTTTCAAATCCAGCTAAATTATTCTTACCAGAGTTCCGCTAGTATAGCTGTTTAATAGCTTTAGGGAAACAATGTTAAAATGGTCCAAATCTGCTTCTGAATATCTTCTCTTTGGCAGAAGTCAGGAATGTTGGTAGGGACCTGATCTTGATACAAAACTGTGTCTCCTTCATTTCTATCTTGCAAGCAGGTCTGGGTGAAAAGCATAACCTGCTGCTTAAATTTCTTTCTTCCCCAGCAGATCCCCGAGTTCTTCAGTTGACTATCAGCTCTTCTTTTAAACAAATTTTTTTTAAAATGTCATTTAGTAGCAATTTTATGAGAACTCATATTGATTCCTCAAAATATGGGAGCATTTTCTGCCTAGTCCCTTATAGTAAGAGCTCACCATGTTAACAAAACAGATTAATTATGTACAGTAACTGTAAGAAGTATTTAGGGCAAAAGTGTGATTCGCTAAAGATGGCATGGAGCCAGGTGAACACACTCAGATCTGTGGGTTATTTTGTAGAGAATTTGTGGATTTTCACTTTTCATGGTAAAGAGGAGTGGGCAGAGTGAATGCAGACTTAGTATTAGCTAATGCAAGATAATGCACATCAAGAGGAGTCTTTTGAATTCTCCCTGTGCACCATGAGGTTTGAAGATAATTTTGTACATCTGCATTAAAACTTTTGCTTTTCTGACTACTGTGGAACAAGTAAAATTTTAGGACCTAAGAAGAGTAATACTGAAAACACGTTTGCCTTTCTATTATCTCCTTTTCTGAAATACTATCATTCTATCTCAAAGAAAATTTCAGCAAAAGAGAAAATGCAGAAGGGTAGGAGAGAAAAATAATTAGAAGCATGAGCAAATGTTGATATGAGGAGAGTTTGGGAACTTTGGGATTGCTTAGTCTACAAAAGTAAGGATAAGTATAATTTAATGAGTGGTTATTGTATTCACTTTTCTCAAAATAACTTAATGTTAAGTTGCCTGGAAAGGGAATTTAAACCTGATAAAAGGAAATACTGTTTGTTTACAGTCCACACATTAACTCTTAAATATAGTGTTGTCTTAATTCTTTTCTCTGTAGTATTCCAAAGTTTTTTTGCATTATTTAACAGTTACATTTTGTAGATAATTTAAGTTGGAAATTGCCAGGAGTTCAAAAGAAGCTCTTTTTACATGCTTGTAATTGCTGAGGTGTTTGTATTTTCATGTGAAGTAACTAGCGTTCATCGCTGTCAAATATAGGCCACTAAGAAGATAAACTCTTGATCTTGCACTAATTCCTGTGTTCCTAACCATTGTGCCCTCCAAGATCAGAGTCCAAAATTGACGCAGTCTTCAGTGTCTTCCAGAACTTGTTACAGAAATTCCTAGATGAAAAGCATAAATACACCATTTGAAATAGATGCTATGAAAATGATTATATTAAATAGGGGACAAAACATAATAGACTTTGTGTCCAGAATAACATTAAATGTCTGATCAGATCTGTACACATTTTTATGTTTTTGTTAATTGTTAAAAACTGTATTTTATTTAGACAGTTGACAGGCCGAAGGATTGGTACAAGACAATGTTCAAGCAAATCCATATGGTTCATAAGCCTGGTAAGTATGCTTTTGTCTTGGCTGGGTGGTTCTCAGTCATATTAAAAAAGGCACTTTTCTGCATTTTGATTGTCTGCCATGTGAAAATACAAGCATTCACCGAGTGTCAGATAATGAATCAAATCTAATGGGTAAATTCGATGATAGATTTTACTGTAGCGAGCGCTATTTTCCTCTGCTAAAGGCTGAAAATTTCTAATAGGTTTATTTTATTACTAAAACTAAATAAAAATTAAAGTGATCAGGATAGGTATGCAATCAGTATGATGCCATGTCACTGGGGAGCTCAGTGAAGTGATCCTCATCTCCAGTTTGAGGGATGAGAAATTGGCCACTGTAAATCTCCTACCATACCAGGTTTCTTACGGAGAGCTCGTGTATTAGAACAGCATGGGCTAGTAAACAGGCTGTTTTGAGGATACATTTTCTATCTGAATTGCATCTTTTTCATCGAATGTCTTATTTGGTTCTGCTGACATGGAGCTTTGGTGACATTACTAGCTTTAGAGTTAACGTTCTTTATCATGGTCACCACCAAGGATGTCAAGAAACTTTATAAATGACAATTATGCTCATTACACCTCTGGAAGGAAGGAGACTTTATTCATCTGAGGTAGAGCTTGCATTCAGTATGGTCACACAGAATGTTAGTGGGAGAATAAAAAATGTAAGCAGGAAAATTTTGGCTTACGAGGTCTATTTTGAACACTAGTCACATAGCAGATATTTGAGGTTGCTTTTTGTGATAGGAACAACAACTTAATAGTCTCTAGTAGAGGAGAGCTGACAAAAGGAAGACATTGAGCTTGGGGAAGGGAGAAGAACAGACAAAAAGCTATAATTTGCAATTCGGTGCTAACCAGTAAGTACACAATATGGGTGCTATGACCAGAAGATACCATTTTACCAATAAGAAGGTAAAAATAGCCTATGGTAAGTATAATGGGAAGAGAGAGTCTTCAGAAAACACGTATGAGAGGAGGAAAAGAAATACAGTGCTTGATTGCCTACCAATCTTCTGTTTGTATTTGCAAAAACAAAGCTGCATTGCTGTGATAAACTGGCACGTATTGCACTACTGTAACATGTATATTTCTTTTTGTAGATGACGACACAGACATGTATAATACCGCATATGCATACAGTACTGGTAGGAATTACTCCCTCACTTCAAAATTAGTCTTTTGTTAATGTCAGCAAGTAACAGGGGTAGTTAACTGTTCATGCTCGCTTTTATAATGCTTATATAAACACTTTTTATTGTCTTGTTTGATCCCAGTTGGTGTTTTTTCATGCCTTTATTCCCAAATGAAACAAAGTTTAATTTTGGTTTCATTCTTACCACAGAAATTAATTGCAGCTGTGGGCCTCTTACTGCAGATGGGATACACTGTAATACTGTAGTTTCTTGATTACATTGCATTTATTTTCACTAGTGATTGTGAGTAACACAGCCTTTCCTTATCAAAATGAAAAGGGAACTAGGAACTACTGTGTGAAAGTACAAATGCTAATTACTGACATGGGAAGACAGAAAGGTTGTACTGAAAACACCTTTTAAAATATGCAGTAAGAGTGCCTAATAAAGATGATTCTGTTTTATGATCTTGTTCATTTTTGCTATAGACACTGGTGTTGGCATTACTTAGCTGCAAGACAGACATATTCATCTAAGATATAGAATTGTTGTGTCTTTCAGAAGCTTATAACCATGTGGTAAAATTATTTACAAAACAAAAATGAAAGGGTGAATAGACTATATGTGCAAAAAACCCATAGAGCCTTGTGCAAAAATGCCATTCAAAACTCTTCCATTTCAGTGTTTGTTGCATTGACATGCTCTCATACTTCCTTTTTCTGTACTGGTGAGAGTATTTGTTGTGGGTCAGTTGAGATCTGTTTGGACTCGTGATCCTCTTCAAGATACACTATTGCCTAGTTGTCCCAGACTAACAGTAATTATTAAAAAAATGAAAAAAACGTGCATTTCCTGCCTCTTCTCTTCCTTCTGAACATAGAACAACTGAGAGGCAGGATGAGCCTGGGGATTAATTACAGGCTGTCCTTAACAGCTCTGATGGATATATACAGCCATTAACTTCTCCCCCCCTCAAATTAATCATTAATTTATTTTAACTATACTGCACTTTATCTGTGTGTTTGTAGTTTTATATAGAAATATATAAAAAGTATTCTAATGAGCTACACAGTATGCAGCAACGTACTTTTAAAAATGCATTTACACATTTTCATAACCTTGCAGCTTTATTGAGTAACTGTGGGCTCTTGTAGCATTCCGTGTTGTGTTTTATTAAAACTCATCCTCATGCTGTGACCATTTCTGGTTTTGTTTTACGTTAGGTAGCTACAGCCCATCCTTCTCTGCTCAGGCGCACCCAGCTGCAAAGACGCAGACATACAGACCATTGTCTAAAAGCGCTTCTGAAGGTAGCTCCGATGCCTTTAAGGTCTCATCCCCTCTACCACCTCCACATGTGCCGCCTCCAGTACCACCGCATCGTCTGAGGGAAAGGTCTACACCAGAAAAGTAAGTTAGCACGTTTTCAAAAAGTGTTCTTCCTGTATTACAGGATATCACAAAGGTTAAAATAGCAGCTATAGAATAATATGACTTCAAGGGCTTTATTCAAGGGACAGTCAGGTGATGAGGGGTAATCTTCATCAGTAGTGTGGGCATCACGCGTGGTGCTGCCATTTCTTCAACACGCTGAAGAAGTGCTTATTCTTACAAGTGATACCACCATGAGCATTTAAGATTTTCGTTCTCATTAGCGGGATCGTCCTGCTTATTGTGTTTCAGAACAATCTGTGCTCTAGCAGCTGTCTTGAATAGTTAGTCTCTGAGCAGGAAAGGCTATTTATGGTATCCAGCAGCGAAGAGAAAGGATCTAAAAGATGTTGTAAATTGAAATTCAAGGAAGAGCAAAACTGTAAGAGTGTAGCAGTCAACCCATGTTTCCCCAGAGCTCAGAAGTGCTTTATTTCCCCATTCTTTCAATCTCCATCTCTATCTTGGTAGACCAAGAAGGTGTTTACAGATTAAAGGGGCATTTCAGATTTCTCATGGTTTTCCAGCTTCAAACTTGCTGCACAAAACCAGATCCCAGTGGTTAGAGTCCTGTCTGGAAAAGGTTAATACTTAATAACTCGGGAAAGAAATGCTTATCCTTCTGATAAAACCATGCAAAGTGCCCTGCACACAAACTCTATAGACTCTTCAGCATATCTGTAGCTACTAGTTCAAGCAAAAAGCTTTTTCTTTAGTGTTTACATTCATGAATACTACATGTTAATAGAATATTATGTTATTATACATTTATATGTGTGTGTATGTATATATTTTATATATGAAAAGGGTCATTTTTTGTTCCATTTGTGGCTACAAGCCCGCCTCTCTTGGTTACACTCAAGCAACAAAACAGAATTTGCCCATTTTTGTCAGCTTGGACACTGTAAACATTTTTATATGTAGGAATTTAATTATCTTAAACAGTTTCAAATAATTTGCAGATTGAATAAAATATTATGAGAAAAGACCATACTAAGTGTTTAAAGTTGACTATGACTATGGCTTTTTGAAATTTATAGTGGCAATCCAAAAGGTAATCCAGCAGATACACATATTGCAGAGGAAAATGAGATTGCTCGATGGTTACTGATCTTGGCTACTCCTGTTGCTGAGGGCGGGTTGTCAAGAGGAAATGCTAGGGGTTGGAGTTGGGCTACCTCCCAAAGGCCATGAGGTTTGAGTTGTGTTAGCAAGTCATACAGAAGTGTAGATTTTGTTAGCAAGGCACCAAAACGTGGATGATCTTAGCTTTGATCTCTGAAGTTATGTGAGTCATCATCCTCTGCTAGGCCAAATGCCTTGGTCACAGAAACTGAGGCCTGTTGCAGTTCCTTTTGTCAAGCTTGAAAATAACTGCTTCAGCACTGAATTTGGATGTTTAGCCTCTCCTTTTAATCTTCTGCATGATAAGACAGGCAGTGGAAATCTGCGTTCTTCAGGCCAGGGGATGCCAAACATGTTAGTTATGCTTTGCCTGCTGCTGACAGCTATAGCTTGTCAATCTTTTCCTGCCATTGGGAGATTCTTTTTTTAATTGCCTATAAAGCCTGAGTATTTAAAATCTCACATAAGAGGCTTAGGTCCACATGTTTCACCGTTTCATAGCTGGGAGGCAAGATATGGTTTGCATTAACAGTTGGGCTCAAAAATATAGTCCAGAAGGGATTATAGGCTAAACGCTGTAAATGAAGTGAACTGAGTGTGACTCAGAATTTCAGTAGCATCCTTTTTTCTTCAGTGACTTGCAGTATAATGCAACCTGATCAGAACATTTCCATTTTCCTGTTCATTCTCAAAAAATACAACCTTTTCTGCTCTGAAACTAATTTTTTCCTCAGTGAAAATAAACAATAGAGCCATGTAGAACTACTTCCCTTGAAATGTAGGGCATTTTATAAATAGAGGTGTCTGTGTCCCAGAAATTGTACTCACAAACATACTGTAAACAAAAGCTACCCCATAGATTTTTTTAAGGCACGTGACATGTGCCTTATTATGTCAGGTCACATCAAACCAAGTCACATCAGAAAGGCTGATAGAACTGATCGAATTTAATCAGTGTATGCTCTTTCTCATTGTAAATACAGACAATAGCTGATAGGATTTCCCCTTTCCTTTCTCCCATTCTTTGAGTTACTCACAGGTCATTTTACACAGAGATAAATAAAAAGATGTGTGAGCTACAGTTTTCCAAATGCAATGTAGAATCATAGAATCACAGAATCGTTAAGGTTGGAAAAGACCTCTAAGATCATCGAGTCCAACCGTCGCGTAGGCAGTGACAACAAAAACTGCCATGAAAAGGTAGCTCTCACTGTGATAGTAACTAGCTAACTATCCCCCCAAAATGTATAGGTAGCTATTAATATAATGTGGTGAATGACCATAAAAATATAGTAGTAGGAGTTACTTTTTAGTCTTTGCATAGCACTATTAAATTGAAAGCAGCTTTATAATTCTAGAGAAAATGGATAAATTTCTGTTCCCAAGTCAGCTGCCAAATTCTTGTTCTTGTTTATCTATTCAAATTTCCGAGGAAACAGTATACTGCTTACAAGGATATTCAAGAGCAGTTCTACTACGGATCAGGATAAAGATCATCTATTAGATTTTCTCACTGTCTTTTAACATAATTCCTCATTTTTTGTCTCAGAGAATTTTGTAACGTTTTCAATATGGACTTAATAGCATATTGTGTGATGGCAAAAATATCTACCACTTGCCTATATTAGTATAGCGCGTAAAACAAGTATAGTGGATTTGTAGTTTGAGAAGGCATGTCATGGTATTTTGACACAAGTACATCAGGGAAGTTTTTAAACTGGTCTACCGGTTATAACAAAAGTATGAGTGATCACATAGGCTGGACATCTCTAGTAGTTTTCCTGCTGTACTGACTATACCTGCTGTAAACAGGTTAAGATGATACAGTGGTTAAAACATTGGGATGCTAGGCCAGACATTTCACAACTGAAATCTGGGAAGAGAAACCACGCTGAAATTCATTTGGTTTTGCATGTTTCTCTTGCACGGAGCTGTAAAGCAGATGGCGATGACAGTAAATTAACTCAATTGCTCATATTTGTTATTTAGAAATGACTGGGATCCCCCTGACAGAAAGGTAGATACCCGCAAGTTCCGTTCTGAACCAAGAAGTATTTTTGAATATGAGCCGGGAAAGTCGTCAATCCTTGAACATGAAAGACCGGTAAGACACATAAGTGAAATGGGTAATGCAGTAAAGAGCTTTGGTGAAAGGTCATCTTTTTATTATTTGCTACTGATTATAACTACCTAGATGACTATTGAAGGTCCTTTTTCAAATATGATTTTGCAGCAATTTGTCTTTGCTCTTTCCTGATGGTTGGGTTGAAAATGTGAGTTTGGCTTATTTGCTAAACTTAGATCTTTTGGTATTTCCAAGAAATCAAACCACCACTGTGCAAACCTGATGGATGATGAGCAGAACTGTGAATTAATGGAAGCTGCTTTTTCTAGTTGGCAGGCATCTCCAGCACTCATTTTCAGTAGTATTAACAGCACATATGATATCTGATTAATTAATGCGTAAAAATAAACTATTTGCAATTTCAGGATGTGCCTAATTGTACACTTACGGAGATTTTGGTCAAATACTGGTCAAAGTTGCCCAGAGAGGCTGTGGAATCTCCATTTCTGGAGGTGTCAGGACTCACCTGGACACAGCCCTGAGCAACCTGATCTGATTAGACCTGCTTTTAGCAGGAGGTTGGACTAGATGACCTCTGGAGGTCCTTTCCAGCCTCAATTACTCTGTGATTACTGAGTGTACATTAATGTGTAATTAGAAGTCTTTATTCCCGCTTTCTGAATAATGATTGCAGTTGTGGAATTTTTCACAAGCATGTCTGATAAAGCTACACTTAGTGCATGCAAAATGACCGTTAACAGAAGTTTTCATTTGCTGTAAGAGACATTCACCCAGCCTTTCTGATTTACCTTTGTGCTATCGCAATACTTTCTTATTTTAGGAAAACTGTTATGTATCAATGGCAATATTTTCTTTTCTTGGGCTTTTACTCTGAGGTTGGAATGGTTGAGGGAGTCCAGTTTTAAAGAAGGGGTTTATGTAATCAATACTGGAATATTATTTGCTTCTGTATTACATGCTTGTTCACAGAATTTATTTTACTAATTTAAAATAAGTAAAGCAAATAATTGAATTCCAGAATATGTAGTATGTGTGAAACACCTGTACTAAGCACCTTTCCCTTGTGTTTTTGTGCTCTTTGCAGGAATATAATTTTTGTGAGCTAGAAAATACTAAGCTGTGTTTCTGTGAAATTAAGTTCTTGCAGAACTGATGCATTTTTCAAAGAGGAAACTGGCGTTTCTATATGAACTGCTAATCAATCAATATAGCTGAATGGGATTTAGTATTTATTGTGAAGCTGAACTTAACAAATAATTTTATTTAAAAGGTGATGGCATTTGTTCTGAGCACTTTTTTGATTGCTGTGGCTGCATTATACACACTGAGGTCATTTACTGGCCTTCCCAATGCCAAAGAATAACAGCAGATTCGAGTTAAAAATAAGAAAATTACAGTGATGTTTCAAGAATGGCCTCACTTTTCTAATAAATTGCATTTTCTACTAATGTAATGTGAAAAAAATAATTCATATAGGAAATTACAGTGCTGATGAATATGATCATAGATACAATTTTTCAATTTTAGCGAACTAATGAAATCACAAAAAAGTCAGCTTTGCTGACTGTTCCTGAAGCCTTTTTTTTAACTTGCTTATGCATTTTATTTTTGATGTTCTCAATCAAGAGGTTGGATATTGAGCTTTGTTTCGTCCTTAAAACATTTTCTTGCAGAAAAGCCTTAGTCACGTTGTACTTACTGAGCAGCATCAGTCAAGGGCAAGATCACACTTTATCATCTGAAGCTTAGACTAGAAGTTTAGGCTTAGCTGATGTACATACAAGGAAACCTCTTTGTAGAATAAATTTTAAAAGCTGAGGAAATAATATTCATGGACAGAATGGAGAGATTTTTTTGTTTATGTATGATTCAAAAGATGGGAAAACAGGAATTAATGTAGAATACAAGAGGTGAAAGTTGTCTAACACTAGTGTAACGTTATCAACTGATACAAAAATAGTTGAAGTGAGCTATCACAGTTTTATCAGTCTATAATTTCTGCTGCTGATAAAGATGATGTTTAGCTTTATGTATTCAGACACTTCCTTTGGACCACGTTACAAAAAGAAAAAGATTTGGTTTCACTAAAGCATTTGCTTTCCTTGTTTTCATTGAATGGGATAAGGAAAGCAAAACTCACGACTTGTTAAAGGATGATCAGCAGAGTAGGTCAAAATGTTTTTCTGTGTGTCTAGGAAAAGCTGACATCTGAAAACAAAGCATTAGTTCCAAATTCAGATGAAAACTCCAAATTCTCAACTGTGTCAGTACTGCGTGAGTTAAGTCTTTCATCTTGATAATCTTAAAAAACTTGATTTTTTATGTCTGAAAAATTGTTCTGATGATACTGAAAGAAAATATTAATCAAAATATGGAATATAAAAATAAATATAGTTCATTAATATTGTAAAAGATGGACATTTGTAGCATCTGAACTAGAAATTCTTACTTTATTAGTTTTGCCAAAACCAAAAAAGTCAAAGGGATTTTCTCCAGCACTCTAAATCTTAGAATTTTTTTGCTGAAATTAAATCATTTCCATGTCTACAGGATTGCAGTTTTGATTGCAAAATAATCTGGAAAAAAAAAATATTTACAGCAACCTTATATGATAATAAACAGGGCAGATAAGGTTTGAAATATCAGCATTCCCTTTATTGATGTAGGTTTGCTTTTACCTTCTATTCAAGCAGTTTGGGAGACACTTTGTAAGACCAAGCCAAGTTCGGTTTTTTAAGTCAAAATTATTTGTTCATTTTAAGTCTCCTAGAAAGGGAGATAATATAAAAAGGTCCATCAGCAAAATTGAATCTGAAAGCCAAGCGAAATCAATTGCCCATGTATTGATCTTGGTAGCACAGGGAATGCAGAGTCCTCACTAGAACTGCCAGGCAGCGGTGAACTTGCAGACCTTAGTGCTCAGTTTCTTTTTGTTTGCTGCCTTCTGTGGTTCAAGCTGTAAATAAAAGTAGGACTTGTGTGCATGGAATTAGCTTTACACACCTACATGCTCTCATTTTATTTGCACACTACTACATGAGGAGAACTCAAAAACTTAGAAACTACATAAAATACACTACTTCTAGCTTTTTCTTTACAAGAAGAAATGTGGGGGGTTTTAAGCTTTCAACTAATTGTAAGGGTATTTGAAGATAAAAGGGGAGCCAGCTCCCATTCTCATTTTTTCTCTCCTTGGCTAGCTGGGTGGAAGCCCAGCTTGCCTGACGGTGTGTTCTGGCTCCCTCCCTGCAAGAAGGGACACCAGTCCACCAATGTGTAGGTGAGAGGCTGCTGCTATTCAGGTGACTTGGAGGCCCACAAGGGGGGGGCTTGTAAATAATGTCAGTAGGCCTGGATTTGTAGTGCCAACAGCTCCACAATTTCCACACCATATGCATTTCAAGGGATTTATTTATTTATTTTATGGAGATGCACCCAATTGTTGATATTAGCATTGCTGTCTGTGGCAATTAATTCATTGGTATAATATGAAGATTAAAACATGCTATAAATATTTCAACATACCGTAACTTAGTTTGGGGAAATGATGAAAAAGAAATTGTTTAGTCCTGTCTTCTCAGATAATCCAGATCTAAATTGTGGATTTTTTTTTTAAGGTAAGCAAAAAACACTGAATACGGCAAGCATTCTCTGTAATGGGAATTAAGTTGATATATAATGAAGTTATCATCTTCTGCATTGTGAATCTGTCATTTTTTGCCCTCATGCCTTCATCTCTCTGTAGAACAGAATCACGTGTTTTTTCTTAAATCAGTTATAGTCTCTATTAAGGTCTCAAATCTTTACTGGTCAGTTCATGAAACTAATTTCAGTAGTGTTTTTCTACTAAAGACTTAGTATGTATAGTTGAATTGAAACAGGTGTCATTAGTAGTGCTGAATTATGGCTGTCGATGGTGGAAATGTAAGGGCAAAACTCCAGAGCGGCTTCACTTCCTAACCCTATGGAGCACAGCAAGTTGTTCATCGCTGGCATTCACTTCCCACGCTGTTCGCAGGAATAATACTTCCTTTACTTGAAAGGGACATTGTGAAGATAAATCTGTAAAACAACAGTTGGTGTCCAGATATTGCATGAACAGCTCATAGGTATGTGAGCACCAAGGTAGTTCAAAAGGGCTGTTGACCTTTCAATAGAGCAAAATTGGCAGTCCATTCCAGTAACATCAAAGGCAGCAAGAAAAGTGCCATAAGAAGTGTAATTACCTGAAATGGTCAAGAGCACGGTGTTATCTCTTGCAGAAAACAGAAATAGCTGCGTGTGATTGCTCTGGGGTGTTGGTGACAGCTTGACTCAGGAGGAAAAAGTGTTACATACTTAATCACCAGTATCATTCTTTATGCAGGACTCTGTCTTCTGCTTTCTAGGTCACACCATAATTAGTGTCTAAGTTCTGATAATTACAGTTGTGGCGGACTAAATTTTGAATTCAGAAATATTTTTAACAAGAGGCTTTCTCTGTTTCAGAGATCCTTAAGCCAACAGTTCACTATAATTCTGTGCTGCATGACAGCTTACATCAGATCCTACAAAGGAACTGGAGCTATTTAGAAAATAATTAATGCAGCCAAGTTTACAGTTGATTAGATATCCCATTGGGAGCTCTACTGTTTTGCACTGTCATGTTTTCATGCTACTTGAATAAATCTGTCAATTATTCTTCTGTTCATTGAAAATTTTTCTTAATGCTATCTTCAATTGCTACTTTATCCCTTTGCTGTGAGAATTTTCAGATGAAAACAATGTATTTCACTGTGGAAAAAAAAGCTTCATTATGTCAACAAGGCTGTGGGAGATAAAGCATTATAAAATACTGCTAAAACGAATATTATGGAATGTATAATTTTTTGTTCCCTATTTTTCACCATAGGATTTAAAATATACCAGTTCCATTTTATATGCTGAAGCGGCTTTTTAATATAGTCACGCCTGCATGATGCATATCGATAATCTCTGCTCAGCACTTGCTTCAAGACAGCGAGATCTGGAATTAACAATGTTTTGTGAGAAGACAAGGAATGACCAAAAGCAATACTGATAAAATTATGTCTTTATTGCTGATCAGATGGGCAATTTCTTGCCTATGCTGAAGATGTCAGTCATTTAAACCATCTTCTTAACAAGAAATCTTTAGTAGCATTAAATGTACTTAAGTAATGCCGTGATGTTGACAGAAGTGGTCAAAAAGCCCTCTTAGCTTTAAAAGAGTAATTTTAAAATGTTTAACATCTTCCAGTCATTGGAAGAACAGCGACGAAAAGAAAAGTATTAAAGCTACCAGCCAATGACAGCTCTTGAACAAGAATATTCTCTATCTGTCTTAGATACCATCTTCATTCTTTGATTTTATTCCATTCCTTTCCCCATATTTGTTTTGTGTTTGTGTGTGTTTGTTGTTAAAGTGACATGGCATTTCTAGCACTTTGCTCAGTGTGTGCCTTTTCCTTCCCTTTTACTTCACAACTGCTCCAGACTGATCGCATAAACCCAGATGACATAGATTTAGAAAACGAACCCTGGTATAAATTCTTTTCAGAACTGGAGTTTGGACGTCCGGTAAGTGAGGACAGAATATTAATATTTAAACATTAGGAACAATATTTTTATAATGAGGAATTTACAAATTACCGAATTCAGCAAACATATGCCAGTAAAGTTAATATGGTTTTTTTCGAGAAAGGTCAATAAAGTCATCTCATGCATATAACTATTACTTTTCAAGTGGACCCTTAACTTGCCAGAGTAATGGCTTTAATAGCCTTAATACGGACTACATATTAGACAAGTAGTAGTGTGTAAATATTTAAGAACAAGACAAATCGCATGTTACGCAGGGATGTTTACTAGTCTCCCTAAATCTTTTGCATTTGGCTGGATTATTTTTGAACAATCTTTCAGAACAGGAAAACATGTCAGTTTGCATTAGGGATGCTAAACTATAAATCATGTCTTTTACTTGAAGGAATGTGTCTACATTTAAATGCACACAGCCGTATACAAATTGCTGACGGCAGTAAGTACTGATATTTTTTCCTTTTTTTCCTCTCTTATATGCATACATGCAGAATACATATTTTGTACCTGAACACAGAGATACAGGTTTGCTCTGTTTTCAAGCTTGGACACCTGCTTGAACAAACAGACTTCAGTTCTGCTCCGATTTTCACAAACAGCCAGGTCCAGAAAAAGGACTCCGGCAAACAGATGCTACCTTAGTCCTACTGCAAGCATTTATGTTTAAAATTACAAACCTGAAAAGCTCCTTTTGGTTGAAACACCTAAACGTCAGATGTACTCAGTTTTTCCCCTTCGGTTGCCTGGGCACGCGCAATTCTTCTCCAAATACCACAGGCTTAATTGGATGTAGGCACCAAAGGCTGTTTATATCTTTTATACAAGGATGAAACAGTAACGTTGTCCTCGAAGCAAGACTGACAACTAGGTCTCACTTCCTCCCTGCACAGTGCCTTAACGACTAGGTTGGAGATGCACCTGCTCTTGCTTTTGCACACACCCTCTCTGGCTCTGTGGAGCTCAAATTCTTTCCGGAACGCTCTAACATCTTCAGGAAAAAGGATAACAGATGTCTTCATCCCGGAAGAATGTCTAACACGGTGGTTAGAGTACTTTCCAGACAGGTGGAAGATGTGAGTTCAAATCCCCTCAGAAAAAGGAAGGAAGTAAACCCAATCATTCCCTCAGTCTGGTGAAGTATTCCCACAGCTCCCCAGGATCCTGGGCGGCTTGAGGACACAAACCAAAAGCACCTGCCCACAGGCAGGAAATCCCAAAGAGAGATGGCATTTGAGCGTGAGAGTATCAGGATTTAAAACATTCCCATTCTTATCTTTCCCTGTTAGCTAGCGATTCTCTGGAGCCCCCCTCGGCATGCTAACTGCTGACATGCCGGGCTACAGGAGGCGCCTGAGCACTTGACACAGGGCCCTGGCGGGCACTCTGGGAACCAGGTGCCTTACTCCCTTTTTGTAGCTAGCTGTAAGCCAAAATCAGAACGCCCAGCTACTTCAGTGGGAGCAGAAGAGAAAGCAAACCACACACATTCTTTTAAAACTTTAATTTTTTAATCATAACATTTAAAAAAATTACCCATTGAATACCACCTGAAAATAATAAAAAAAAAGTTAAATATATCTGGGTTTAATTTGTTGTCCAGTGGTCTATAATGTATCACATTTTCACTGATTACCTTTTATCTCCTTTTTATCTAGCCATTCAAGATGTTTTGTCATTCCTCCCTCTAGGTGGGCAGAAACAGTCCAGATACGTTCTTCTGATGAACAATATGTCAACAATATTTTACTGATAATGATAACCTGAGAATAGTGTCTCCAGTAAGATAAAGTATATTGAGATTTCCCCAGCAGAACATAACTGCGATGCTTTACACTCTTCTGTCTCATCAGTATTAAAAACTGCTAGTATTGATTCAACCATTCCTGTTGTAAATTTTACCACCTGAAGTTACTAACATTTTATTAAGATGCTTATAATTTAAAAAATATCGTAACACATTCTTCCTTCCATTCTACCCATATGTGTCACTCTTTGTATCTGACGTTGTCAACACTTAGTTTCTAACTGTGTCACCTTCTCCACATGTTTCATTCCTTGCTGCCATTGATTCTACTCCATTTCATCTCTACACTTCTGCTTTTATGATGCAGCCACCTAAAAAGCTTTTGGACTATGTTCAAGACAGTTCTTCTGGTGTTTCCAATGAGGTAAATGAATGATTCTTGTTCAGATGATTCTCTTGGGAAGAAGGGTTGGAGTGCTCGCCGTTTATGTCTTAAGTTTGTTAAAATGTAGTGGTTTCCTTCTGATAGCTGTGAGACATTTCTAATTCACAATCATTGTATCTTTGTCTTCATATCTTTCCAGATCACTAGTGCATTTGGATGTTGATCTTATTATCCTAGGAACTGTGAGTCTGTATCCCCAAAACTTCTCAGAGATTAACACTCAGAATTACACAACAGCCCATACGTCTCTAACTCTGACAAATTCCCACTTCTTCAGAGTTGGGCAACTGCATTGCTTTCAGACACAATTAATACACCAGCACAGTAGTATTTTTTAGTTAAAATACCTGACTGCAAATTCTACATGTCAGGTGAAAGCCTTTGTGGCTAAGCTATCATTTCTCCAATTAAGTATTTATGACTAAGGTTGCTAATCAGGAAATACAGCAATTAATAATCCTGTTGTAAATTTATAACTGCAGGATTGGCAGTCACTGTCATTACTGCAAATAAAATGCATCAAGATCAGGTGGTGGGCTGTCATTGCCCTACTCTGAGTGGGAGAGATTCAGGCTTTGATTCCTTCTCCCTTCCCTCCCCATTTTTAGAGTGTTAAGGCAAAAGTCAGTGAATCCTGTAATGACAACTTTACTTCATATGGTGGCTTTACTTCGTTCATATTTGCGATTCACTCTCATCTTCTGTAGCCTCTCCAAAAATTAAACGCAAATCGTGGCCTTAAATTGTTAATTGTTTGCAAGTTAGTCCGGTTTGGTTTTAAGCTCTGTAAATCTGGAAAAACCTCGTGGTTGTGAAACTGGGGCCCAGTTCTCCAAGACAATAAGCTTCTAGGCCTTCACTCATACTTGAGAGTACTCTATATATCAGAAAAGACAATTTAAAAGCCCTAGCATGATTATTTGAAATATTATCATGTTCAGTAGGCCTGGGTAAAACAGCTATTAAGTAATACTGGTTTTCTCTTTGTTTAATTTACAAAGACACTTATCTTTTATTTTGAAACTTTTAAAATCTTTGAATATGATAAATCATGTTCACAAACTACAGCAAATTAAATATTTTTCTAAAGGGGGGGGGGATATTCCAAATAACTTGTTAAAGTGTTAGAACCATCATGCAAACAAGCCTGCTTCTTGTTTACAGCTTTTGCCTACTTTTCCTAACTTCATTTTCAGTCACCATTAAAGCCTTGATGCATGAAAACAACCTAAACATTGGCTTAATTGTAAATATATATATGGTTTTTTGAGTAGAACCGAATCAAAATATTCAACAAAGTCTGTATTTGGTAGTCTGGGGTAGTTGTCTCCAATATTTAATTATTTTGTCAGGCAGCCTTTATCCATATAGGGCAGTCTTGAATATTCTGGAAGATGCCTAATTAGCTTTGGAGATGGAGGAGTGGGGGAGATGTGTTCTCTTTGGCCACCTGGAAGTGGCTTGGAGGGATCATGGGTCAATAAATGCCCCAGAGCTGATAGGACAGCTGCAAACAGCGGTACCCACTCTTGGCAGTAACACACAGCCATATCCACTGTTTGCTTTCACCTTTTACCTATGATGTGCCATATCAGGGCAGCCCTACCTGTGGGTAGAAGGTATAAACTCCACACAGCCTATATATGATAACGTATGCCTGTCGTAAAAATTAGTATTGTAGAATGTGCAATATACAGTATCTTTCATATAGAAAAAACTTCAAAGAAGGCATCAAAGAAAGGGCAAAAGGGCAAGTTACATCCGAGGTGTTAAGAGTATGTTAAAGGACGGAAAGCAAAAGCCATATAGTAACCCAGCAGTAAATTTTGGCATGACACACACTTCTTGCTGTCTTAGGCTGATCACTAACACACTATTTATGGCCTGGGGAATGCTGTGGATAAAGAAGTTCTCTACGGTTTGGTTTCAGTTGTGTGATTTACCCATTGCCTTCCATAGGAGGCAATGGGGATCTACACTACCCTTGGGATTTACATCATGGTCTGCGTAGCCCTGGAGCCATTACAAGTGATGGAAAGTAATCACTCATGGCTCTTTGGCCAGTGTCATGTGACAGATGGTCTCGGTCCAGTCTTTAGTGGAAGGGGTTGGGTTGGCACCTGCGCAAGAAACCCTGCAATGACAATTAATCTGCAATGTTTGTATCATCTCATGCAACAATTCTAACAGAGATCACCTGTGAGCCCGAGTTTCCTTCCTCTGCTGGTACCGGACCATGGCAGTGACTGGTCAACAGCGATGAGGTTGATAGTTGTGGCCAGTTTTGAAGTAAGACTCTGACGTTTTCCAGAACAGGCTCAATGTGTGTTTTGTGGGTAGCGCAGGGAAGCACACAGACCTGAGGCCTTTGCTTCACGCTGTTGTGTAGAAATGTGAGGAGAACTGTGGTTACACCAGCTGTTGGTGTGAGCAACTCTGCTGCTGGCTTCTACGGTTTTATTGCCGACAGAGCTCATGATGTTAGATATTTATATTAAAATCACTGAAGTTGGATAGTGATGGGAGAATTGTCATGAAGTAGTTTTCAGCTTTCAGAGGATGTAAAGAAAAACTTGAAAATATGAAGTGTATGAACAGTAAAGACTCGGGAATAAATACCTTCTTCAGAATATATTTTAAAAAAGAAATACCATGATATTTTGTTTAGACAGAATAGGTAACAGTAATGCACTCATCATGAGCCCCATACACATTCTAAATACTGAGAAATAAAATAGGGATAATTTCCTAAGTGCTAATAGCAGGTTTATGATCTGTCTGAGAATATCTAATCATCAGCACACCTCTATAACAGAACTGGCTCCAAGACACAGGCTTCTATTTAATCTGCCTGTGGAAAGGTGGTTTGACTCTTTATTCCTTTCCTAGAGCAGATGGTATGGTTTTGTTTCACAGTACCCCTTCTCTCTAATGTTTAAGCCCATTGACTTTATGAGCTAGGTTACAGTACTTAAAATACTTCGGTCAACAGTTGTCTATTTCTGTTCTTCATATGCAAATCCACAAATCAGTTTTTATTTTACAGTGTCATACCTAGCTTGTTTATCACTTAAGAACAATGCAATGACGATTAAAAAAAAAAAAAACAATCTTTGAAATCTGTGTTTTGCTAGGAAAATGAAACTTGTAAGAAATAATTTCACATTTGTTTGCAGAAAAAATAGGTTGGTTTTAGCAAATTTAGCAAATAAAAATGAGAGGCTGTGATAAAACTCGATTGTATTCCACGGTCTTGTGTACTCTCCCATCATGGAAAAAATCATACGTGGAGCACCACTGCACAGAAAGCCACCTGGGAAAGGGATACATCATTGTATGAGTGAGGCAAACCTTCACTGATGGAAACACCTAACACTGGGAGAAGCTGGGCACATGATCAGTAATGTTGGTAGTCTTCTTCCAACAGGCCGTTGCTACAGCAGACCTGCCCCACTGAGAGCGCCATCCTCTTGACATCACTGATGCACACTTCCCAGTTCCTTGAGAATGTGGGCTACATACCACTACCTCACCTTGCTCCTCTTGGTAACAGCTTAATTCCCAGATTGTGTGAAGATCTCTCATACACAGGCTGCAAATTGCAGATCAGTGTTGCTTGAGGACATGTTAATTTACAAAGAATAAACACAATAGTAATTCCTAGCAGGTGGATATATTGCTATTGACAACTATTTTAATGCCACTTTCTACTTCCTACGGTAGTGCACACACTGTGGGTTGCATGCATGTCGTTACTTACTGTAAATGAGACGCAGATGAATAGAGGAGATCGTTTCTCCTCTATTATGTCTGGAGGTTGTATTGGATGAGCTGAAAATGACTGCATGACAAGTAGCCCTTTTTTTTAGCATAGCACTAAAGTAATTTTTGGAGCTTTTATTTCTAGCTCCCCTCTTTCGTCCATAGCATAAGTCACTGGAGCAGAGTTGTATGTTGCCAGAACTTGAGCATCAGTTTCCACAACCTGAAAATCCATGATACAGTGCAGCAGTGGAAGGATAAGGATGAGAAAAAAAGGAAATCTATTCTTTTGGTTTCCCATTTTATTACAAAACAAAATATTTGTCATACAGAACAATGTAGCGCATTACAACAGAATCACGTTTGTTGTTTGGAGGCAGTTTCAGAGGTTTGGGGCTAATTGAGCTCTGATGGGAACAATTTAACAGTATCCATCAGGTAAGAATTGCAGCAGCAGCAGAGAAATTGCCTCAGCTTTGCCTCTAACATGGTGACAGAATATTAAAAAAGAGACTTTAAAGTCTCGCAAAGACACATCACTTCTAGAGCGCATGACTCTTAATTAGAGGTATTACCTGAGCCTTGCATTGTTTCCATTCTGAAGAGATGCAAAGACTAGCAAGTTTAAACACACAAACTACTAAAACAATGAAGTGGTACAATCGTCATGGTTTCATGATTTAGCCCAGTAGTTTATTTCATTTCAAAATAAATAGGAAGAAAACAGAGAAGTAGTTATAACCAAAACCTTGGGTTTCCTTTTTTCCTAGACATGTGCTTTCTTTGAGATTTCCCCCACAATGAAATGCACGTGAGAGTTTGTGGGATGAAAGCATGCCATGTTGAACTGTCCAAGATCACCAAGAAGCTTTGAAATAGGCCAGAAACAAATTCCTTCAATTACAGGCCAGTTCCTATGCTTTCTCTTGGTGAAACATCAGAGTTGCCATAACCCTGTTTGCCAACGTTACAACCCAATGTTGTTTTCAAAATTTGTTGCTTTCAAAATTTCTGTTGAAATCAAGAGGAACAAGAGCTGTGCACAAACACTGCTAATAGGATACAGCTCATACTCATAATGCTTGATCTAACAGAAATCCATGTTAGAGCTAGTTCTGCCACAGTGTTTTACAAGTTAAGCCAAGTATGACTTGAGAGAAGTATCAGGAACCTAGTTCTGCCATTGCTGGTGGTCAGGTTTATGCTACTGGTTTTTGCAGTGAGCATATTCTTTATAGATCACTTATCCCAGATTTGTAATCTCACTTGAGGAGGGATTCTACTTCTGTGTTTATACAGCAAGTGATTCTGATCCAGACTGGAGCGTATGAACATAACAGTGTTTAACAGTGAGAATAATAGTAGTAGTAAGTAGTAACACAGAAGAAATACTTGAATACTTGTCCACAAAGCAAAGACATTTCTGTTTAGAAAAAATAAACATTTTGAAACCCTATGCAGAGATCACTTTAAATAAGTTATAGAGGACTTACTTTCTCTGGAAAGTAACTTTAAAGTCTTTGAATGATTAACATCTTTTAACTGTTTACATCTCAGCTGCCATTTTTACCAAAAGCCTGAAAGTTTTTTTTTCTGATTTTTGATGCGATTTAAATTAAACTACAGTTAAAAATTACTGAGAAAATCGGAATGATCTTAGCTCAAGTTTTAGATAACATTTGATCCATATTGTATCATGTTTGTGTGTTTCTCCCTGCCTCACAGTATAATAAATCTCAGTATAATCCAGAAATCAAAACTTCAGTTAGTGTCCTGATGGGATCACTTGGTATGTGATGCAGGTCTTAAATAACGAAGCCTACTAACAAATGAGCTCTAACTGAACAATCGTATTGTCTTTATAGTGCCCCACCTGTAAAAGTAGTTCAACAGTTATGCTAGAATGTCATTTAAAGTATGCAGTCTCATGAAATCTCTTCATAAATATTCTTAGACTACAGGTGCCTTCTAGAAGTATACGTGTCACTTTACAAATCTGGGTGAAGTCCTATTCATGAACTTGCAATTCAAATCACTGGGAAAAAAGAATACCTAACAAAAAAAGCACTTACACAGGCCATGAGTGCTATTACTTCTGCAGTCCTTCTGTACAGAGAAAAGTCTGTAAAGATTTTTCCGTGCAGAGAAAAAGTCTAGAAAGCTTCTATGGAGAGAGAAAAATAGCTCCTGCAGCTTACGAAGCTGTATGATAGCTCTATTTCCAGTCCATCAGGTTAGCTCTGAAATGACATGCCAGGGACTTAAAACAAGTTTAACTTTTGAACCACATTGCTTTGTACCCATGAAGAAATACCAGGGACCATGCAGTTTGTTCTAAATTCATATGTCGTTACCAGAATTGTATTACCTAATTCTGACTGGAGGCTTGAAATGTATGAAATGATTGATTTATAATTAGTGGTCATTTAAGGTTGACTTTGTATTAATAATAAAATTAGGGAGCAGTACTCCATTCCATCTTCCAAGGTTCGTGCAGTAGCTACTACCATAACTCTATAGGCAATAACTAATTTTCTGTGATAAGAACTGTTTTTACCAGGAATATAAGGTGGTCAACAACTGGCCGCAAACATCATGGCATTTACAAAAGTTTCTGGCTACAATTGATTGTGGGATTTTGGTGAGTAATTCCAGGGGAGGAGAAGGTCTGCAGACCTCGCTTGCGCATGAAGGAATTATTTTCAGATTTTTATGGTCTTATAATAAAAGTTCATTTCAGCTGTTTTGTATCTATTTTTGAAAAGGGTATAGAGAAGCATGACTTTGGATCATTATTTGGTAGTGCTTTAAAAGAAAAAACATTACTGAAGTAGAATATGAAATGAAATCTAGTGATGCTTTTTAAAATCTGCATAACTATTCTCATGAAATATTGCAGTATCTATGCTGGAGTGCCCAGGATGTTAATCATCATAGTCTGTTGTTATAGGATTTGTCACAGAGTAACAATCGTAATCAAACATGATAAGCAGAAATCGTTCACCCTTTTTTCAGTTACAGATGTATAACAGATTCATATATTTGTTTTCACAGACTTCCTTATATCATCACTATTCAACAGACAAAGGCCTGGACAGGCCCTCTAGGTAAGAAATACAATATATGATTTCAGCAGACACAGATTATCCAGCCCGAGGGCTTTCTTTGTGACCCGAAGCCAGCAGATGCTACGAAGAGTCAGATTTTAACATTCACCTTGTAAGCTACTGACAAAATAGAGAGATGCATGGAGAGGATGTTCATATTTTGATACTGAAGTGTAATCTTACTTTTGTTTTACAAGGACTTAGTGTTTACATTCAAGATAACCATGCTGTATTCTGGACCTTTCCACTAACATCCCTGAGCTTCTGTCTCAACTGCAGCCATCTATCATCTAACCTTACTGCCTGCAGCACTTTCAGTGCTGTTTCCCTAAGCATGCTACCTCATCTGTTCTCGGTCTCTGTCTTTTTCCTATCTTTGCGCTGAGCTTCTAGTACCAAAAAATAGTCTAAAAAAACTTGATGCGTTTATTTCAAAGCCTTCACTATGAAAATGACAGCAATTTTGTTGCTTTAACTTTAAAACAATCAGGTGAAGAAGAAATTCAGCTTTTCTCTGTGAAATATGCTGTAAGATGTCTGAGACCAGTGCTTCTCCCCTTTACATGTTTTTGATGTAATTGTTCTGGCATTGTTTAATCTATAAACCAATAATATAATTATGAGCTTACTTTTTAAATTCCTGAATTCTGATCTCAGGATTAGACTGCTGCTAATACTGCTTATTTCTGTAGTTCTGCAAGTACTGCGAGTGACTACAGAAAAAGAAGGAAGTCAGAACCTGCTGTAAGTCATCAGAGGGTGCACAGTGATCAGAATGCAAACAGGCCTAGCCTGGGCCGTACAGATACACAAGGCCCATATACCACCCTTAGAAAGCCTTTAACTAGCTCGTCTCCTTCATCTCCATCAAGAGCAAAAGGTAAGAGGAGAGCATATTTGTTAGCAGAAAACCACTGATACGTTGTACAATACATTGGTGGTAAATGCAGCTGTCTACTGTTGCTCAGTGCACCTCACTTGGAGATTTACTATATGAAGCAACACCTTTGGGCCTTTTGTGAAAGGCTAACTTGTTTACTCTTACATGTGTAATTTTAAGCTGAAAAGCTGGATTTGTAACAAGGATTTTCCAGTGTCAACTGCTTATTCTAACAAAAGAAAATTGACTAAATGAAGACTATGATTTGTACAATATATAAACCCACAAAGTTTATTAACTCCACTATTCTCTTACTAGATTATTGTGATTTTAAAACTGTTTTCAGTATATACAGAAAGTAAATCAAGACGAATAGCATGTAAGATTAAAGATGTGTTTCCAGAAGAGTAGACCTTTCAAATCTATAGCTGATGTCTTAGACATTGTCAGCTATCAGGACCTAATTTAATCAAGCAAACATCCATAGTCTGATTTTTGATTTTGTAAATCCTTGAAGTATTTAGTACAGCATATACAATCTGATTAGGTTCTTTTTCCAAGTAACTCACCGTCCCATTACTGTTCTCCATGTCTTTCCAGAAAAGAGATACTTGAATCAGTTGTTGGTTTGGGTTTGGGGTTTTGGGTGGGTTTTTTTAGCAAGACAAAAGTAAAACATATGTTTTTCCAGTAAAACATACGATGGAAGTAATACACAGAGTAATGTCGTATACAATACGTCTCCTTCTGTTTAAGTTATTATTCTTCATTTAATTGCTGTATTTTGTAGCTATACTTTCTAATCAGCCTATAGCTGTATTAGGGACTGTATAAACCTTTGTAAAAGTCAATTCCCATTGAAAAGAACGTAATTTCCAGGCTGCAACAGAATGCATCAAAGAAAAGCAGTGAAGAATATTAAGAGTGAAGTGATGGAAAAGCAAATGTATTTTAAACCCAGCGTTACAGCGGTAATTTAAAAAGTGGGTAAACTCATCCATTTGGTGTACCAGGCCAGGCAGTGAAAAGTTGGTAAACTCCATTTACCTGCATTTACCTTTGACTGCATCACCGATAATGAGCACTTACCATGACTTAAACACCTGCCGTGTTTGAAAATCCTTCCTTTAAGAACATCAACCACAGCTAACTAACCTTTGGAAGGTGACCTAGCTGTGTCACTCCGTTCTCTCCCAGCATTATGAAACCTACTAGAATGTTACTTTTTCTTGGAATTAACCATTTTGTTAAAGAAGCAGCACATTATAAGCTGTTTGATCAGCATGGATTTTGAACTCAAACGTTTCAGTTTCTGATTCAGATTCAAGTTGTTCTTCTAGAAAGCAGATTGAGCTGTTTGAAGCATGTGTCCTGAACTGAATGGTGCCAGCTGAGACCATTTTTGAAAGTTCAGTGCAAGTATGAAAGATCACAGTTCCAAATTTGTCTCATAGTGACTTCTAGATCTAGCATGCACATAAAAGCATGTCTTAAAACTTGCTTGAAAACTCAGGCTTTGTTATGGAAGTCAAGCTAAGGGTTATTGTTTCTTCTACATGCTGGTTAGGCTCAGTAAACTGACACATCTTCCTTTACACCCATACAGCAGCTCCTCAGCCACCTTGTTCTGCCCTCTATAAGCTGTAGAAAAC